AAGAAAGAAAGAAAGAAAGAAAGAAAGAAAGAAAGAAAGAAAATGAAGGGGGGAGGAATTACCCCTCCTCAGTGCCCCAGAATATACGAAGGCCAGGTTTAATAAACTCCGAACTTTCACTTTTGTTGAAGGTTCTTAATCTCTTCTGTAATTTTACTCCAAACACATTTTTAAAATAACAGCATCACCAAGCACAAACCCTTCCAACATCCGAAAGATTTAAAATATATGGGGCAATTGGACAAAATAATAATAATAATAATAATAAAAGAATGAGGGAAGGGGGAACAATATCCCTGTCGTTCTATTATAGAAGTCTGTTTATATATGAATGAATATATGTGTTCTAAATGTTATTCCTCCGTATTGTACACAGCTTTGTAAATAAATTTTTAAAATGGTGCTTTTTTTTCCCCCTCCGGTGTTGACTTTGCTAATTACGGTCTGAAAATGATCCTAGGAGAGCTGGATCGGGTAGAATCCGTTCGGCCAAATGTGTCGGGAATGGTCTTCTTTTTGAAATCGGTGGGATTTACTTCCACCAAAAATAAAATAAAATAAAATAAAAATATAGGTTCCAAAAGCTTGAATTTAAAATCAAACTAGCAAACCAACAAGTAAAGTGGATCCAACATTCCGATACCGTGATCTCTTAATGCAACCTAAGTAGAAGTGGATCTCTCTAAATCAATTGGGAGGATCGTCCTAAACCGATATTCTTCCTGCTTCTTTTTTTTTGGTAAAATAATCCCATGATAAATTCCTTTCTCACCCCCTTCCCCCGCTCTTTAAATGCCTATAATATTGTCAACCCTCAGGTTATAATCTACAGAGGAGTGATTTGTGGATATTATATAGATTTTAAAATATTTTAGGCTAGCAAAGTGCCTTGGTTAATAAAGAAAGGGAGATTTGAGGCCGAATAATTGCGCCTTCTCGGAGGTAAAAGTAACAAACCAAAGCTGGTTTTGAGGACAAAAGTAAATTGAATTAACGCAGAACCCAGAAAAAAAATCATAATGTTTTCTTCTTAAATCCCACCCCTGTTCTAGATGCTAAACTAGATGTTCTTGGTATGAAATTTTTGCTTTTGATTCTGATCTCTCTGCCTGTAACTTACTTACTTTTGTGCGGTGTATGTCTGTTAGGATGGTGTCTGTCTAAGCTGAGATTTCTGATTTAAGGCTTAATTTTGTTTGAAGGAGAATGATGAAAGGGATGTGGGCCGCAAGAAAGACAGCAAAGAATGGCCACGAAAGAAAACAGTTTTGAAGAGCCACGGCTGGGATCACGTCGAGGGCAAGGGAATCGGGAGGAAAGGCATTTAACTTCATCGGGCTTTTTGGGATCCACCGCTCTGAATCCCTCTTCCTCTATAGAGGTCCCTCTGCCGATAGAGATTTGGGGCTGAAGAAATGGGGTTGGGGATATTTGGGGACCCTCTCAGAGGCCTGGAAGAAAGAAGGGTGATTGGGTTGGAAACCACAGGGGTCCTCAACAAATGGAGG